TCTTCTGCAAGGACGCTCCTGCCCTGTGTGAGCCTGGCAGTCTGTACCAACTGGGTCTTGGTTCTTTTTTAAATAAAAGAAGGAAAACATTAACAAACTGACAACCATTTACAAAATAGCAAAAGAACAATACAAACAATACAGAGTTACAAACAAAGTGGTAGGAAATTAACAATGCTCGTTGTATCACATATTTATATCTTCAAAGTGGTTTCTCAGGAAAACAAATAGAGACATGCAATATTGATCAATCAAGGAATCATTCACTGTTTCTTTCAGCAAAGAAATAGGAGACAGTAGTTCAACTATGTTAACTCTCCTGTATATACACACATACAACATTCCTTCTTCTTTACCAGCTGGGTCTTATGAGAGACAGGAATAGGCTCCTGCTCTTGATCATCCTCCAATCTACTCTTCTGTTTTCCATATGCCCTGGGTTACTACTCCTCACAGTTTCCAACATTTATCTATTCTGTTTTAATAAGATACATATGTTCATTGCTAATTCTAAATCAATGAGAGTAGATGTTGAATTCTTCATCCCCTTTCTATAAGCACTGAACACACCACCCTGAAAAAGGATCTGCAGGACCAGTAAAGGGTGAGGATTCTGGTGCAGACCTGTGGGTTCAATCCAGGCTGTACTACTTTATGGAATGAGAACAGGAGCAAGTTCTTCAACCTCTTAGTGTCTCTTTCCCCATAAGTAAGAGGAAAATAATAATTATTTCATAATACTAGTGAGGATTAAAAGAATACCAGTTACTCAATCAGCAGATACTGTTCAACTACCTGTAAATTGGTTCTTGTTCTGCCTGAAATCTGTATAACCATCTCTACTCACATCCAAAGCCTTTCATAAAACAGTAAAGAACTTTCCTGCAGCATCTTCTGTGATCAGAATGATGACCCTGATCCTGGGTTTACCAGCTGTCGTTATTGCTGTGGTTGAGCCAGCAGGAAAAACTCATCAGCTTCTTCCATTCCATCCCTTTTTGCCCCTCCATGCCCTGCTTCTACCTCCCTATGATAAGTTCTCCCTGCCTCACAGGCCTGAGCATTTCCAGTGCCGTGGGAGCCAAGTGCTGCCTGTTTATCCTCTGGCCCACCTGGTACCACTGCTGTCAACCAAGATACCTGTCAACTAATATGCTCTTCTGTGGGCCCTGATGCTGAGCATCTTGTGAGCCACCAGCTGTGGCGTCTGCTTGTGTACTTGGATTTTGTTTGGTGTCAAGCATTTCATTTTTTCATCAGCACATTGCTGATATTCGTAACTGTGGTTCTCTCTGGATCCTAGTAAGACTCTTGGGTGGTGCCAGGAGATGCAACTGACCAGAATCTATGTGACCATCCTGGGTCTGCTCCTAGATTCCCTCCCTAACAGCCTGACTGATGGCTCTGAATGGCTCGTTGGGTTGTGGCTTCAAACTGACTATAATTCATTCTTTCATGACTTCATTGCTTTGTGCTTATCCTGCCCTGTTAACAACCACACAGATCTATCATTACCTTCTTCATGGGCTTCTCTGGGCAGCAGACCCTCAGGGTGCTTCTCCAGGGGACTCCTCAGCTCCACAGCTGAGGAGGACAGCGTGGAGGTGGCACTGCTCCAGGGGCCCTGGACGTATGCAGATCAGAGGGGAGCAGTGATGAAGAGCTTCCTCCCGATTCGTCAGATGTGGCTTCGTAGTACACACTGCCATGCCTCCCTTGACAATTATCCGATCTTCTCTCTCCCTCGTGCCTTCGAACTAGCTCAGTAATTTCCCAATAACTTTAAATGGGTTTGTTTAAACCTGGTTTTTTGGGTTTTCTCTCTGCACACGCACAAAAAAAAAAAAAAAAATTCTTATAATATTTCCTCTAAACCATTTCTTATTCAGCACTGTCTACTTTTAGTATCACAGTCATGAAAATAATCCCTCCCTAAACCACAAACTGTGCTTATGATTTTCCTATGCATAAAAGATACATAAAAAGAAAAGCTTTTTTCTCTCAGGCTATGTTCCCATGAGAATTATATTCTGTTCTTAGTGGGGCCTTGGTAGAGGTAGAAACTATCACATTACACCATCAGGTCTTTTAGAAAACAATGTTCTTAAAGATAATTTATCTGCCTGCAAATGAACAGCCCTGTGCTATAGAAGGATGATGCCTCCTAAGATATTTGTCCCTGGTACAATAACAAGCTGTCCTTGGACTCTAAAATTAAAAAGTATGACCTTTACCCTCGAAAACTAGTGTTTATTAACTCTTACCCAGACCAAGATGAGTCTAGAAAAATATAGGCCAAATCCCTGTTTGACATTGTAATCTCAGCACTGATTTCACAGTGGAAAATATTTAGGGAACCCACTGATTAATACTTCATAGATATATTACATTTTGGGACGCAATGTGAACCTCACAATTTTGCACTAATTGTTACATCTGTGACTTTGCCTCAGTCAGTCCTCAATAGATATGAAGATTTCTGTTTTTGCCCACCACTCACCTCCTGCTTGTAATGACATTACATTATCGGGTCTTTTACAAAATAATGTCCTTAAAAATAACTTTTTTGCATACATATCAGTCCTAATGGGGAGCAAAATTAAAAACAACTGATACTCCTATAATCATGTTGGTTATATTGGTAAAACCTAGGGCCAGGATAGAGTTTAAGACTCTTTGGTACAAGGAGTTGCTCACTGCACCAGGAACCCACACACACAGAGGGGGCAACAATGAAGTCCTGTAAAAACACAGCAGATCTCTGCAGATCAGAAGCTACCCCTTTTCCTTAAAGGGGAAATCTGAGTATTCAGAACACAGTGAAAGAAAATAGCTATGCAAATATCATCATCTATACCTTGCAATTTCCTCAGCCAAATATATTGATTGTTTTTATAACATGGTTCACTACACAGAACTTAAGTTCCATAACTTAAGATCCAGTTGTATCTCCAATCAAGCACTTTGCTGATTCTGTATCCTGTATGCACCCCGTGATTGTCACATGGCCCTGTAGAGTTTGGCTATAGGTGAGCGTTTCCTACAGGCAGGAGGAAACAGAATGACAGAGCTTGCCACATATGTCCAAACAGGGTGCTTTGTTGTAATATCTTCAAATCAGCCTAAGATTGTAATGAATGTTAGGATTCATAATTTCCTCAGACAGACAGCTTCAACTAAAGATATTTTTCATCATGAGGAAAACCAATGGAGAAGTCCCAAGATGGAAAGAGGGGAATGATTCATCTTAATTTCAATCATCGTTTTTGTTCTCACACAAAAGTTATACTCAAAACATTTTAGTACTTTGAGACGAAAGATGTATTAATGGTGTGCAATCCGTTATTATAAACAAACATTGTTATTAAATTTAAAGAAAAAATGTAATACATGCTGATGTCACTGGAAGTGATGTGAATATTTACTATATTACTTTGTGGCCTAACTATCTAACTTAAAATTTTCACCACCAAGAACTCTGTCCTCAATTATGGTAGATCCAATATCCACCTATCATCAACTCAACACCCTAACTTCTCCAGTTCTATACCAGAGGCCCCAAGGCTGGCCCGCAGACTGGCCCCAGTCTATGGCCTACTAGGAACTGAGCCATGCAGCAGAGGGTGAGTAGGGAATGAGCACTGCAACGTCCACCTCTATTTATAGCTGCTCCTCATCACTTGTGTTACTGCCTGAGCCCTGTCTCCTATCAGATCAGCAGTGGCATTAGATTCTTATGGGTCTAGATTGCATGCTTCTTCTGAGAGTCTGATGCCTAATGATCTCTGAGGTGGAGCTGAGGAGGTGATGCTAGTACTGGGGAATGTAATTATTATATATCACAAACATATGCTAATAAAGCAAAAAGAAATTGAAAACATTTTTTAAAGATTTCTTAAATTAATCCCCCAAGTCGATGGAAAAATTGTTTCCCATGAAACTAGTCCCTGATGCCAAGATTGAGGGCTCCCAATCTACTTCCTTTGATCTTGTCATCCATTCCATTCTAATCATCCAGTCCTGCATCTTGTCATCAACACATTGGTATGACCACCAAAGTCACAGGTTCAAGGTCACCATGACTGAACTTTGATCTATATAACCACTCTTCCTACAACTTCAAGCTGTTTTCCCACTCCTTCCATAGTGGGTCCAGTCTATTGACCCAACGTGTGTCACTGACCTTCAGTTCTACCCTTGACACATTTAGACTTTACAAATTCTTGTTATACTCACTACCTTGCACTTATTTTCCACCTCTGTGCCACACTTATGCTGTTAGTTTTTCACCAAAGCCCCATCAGCTAAATCCAACTCTGACTTGCCCCATGCCTGTTCCTATAATTCAGTGCACCTAGAGTATTTCTCAATTTCTGTCCATTGTATGGGGGTTGTAGACTTGTGTATTTCTTAGCACAGACTAATTAAACATAGAAAAAAGTCACTGTTCAAACTTAAAGTCTTAACTAATAAAAGATTTAAGAACAAAAACTCAAACAAGTTGTTGCTTCTAGAAAGTAGGGTTTTAGAAGACATTTGTCTTTTATTTGCTATGTTTCTGTGCCATTTAGAAAGAAACTGTAAAGAAACACACATTACTGCTTTAGCAAAAAGTCAGGGCCATACCGTAGGGCCATACCATAGAGAGCCTTGTATGACAACTAAGGAGTACGTGCTCTGTCCTTAGAAGAGTTCCCAACACAGCTCATATTGCTTGGCATTAAGGGTCAGCAAAAATCCCCAAAATAGCAATCACTCAGAGGAAGAATAAGATGGCGTGGGATGAGCAGAGGCTGAGAGACAGAAGTAGCATCAGACCAAATATTGAGAAACATTTCATGAGGAACATGACTTAATGGACGCCACACGCTCATTTGCTAGCAGGTCTCTGCACAGGAAACCAAAGTCTGTCCAATATCATTATCAGTCTCATTTACACATCAAACTTCACTCCAGCCCCTAAAGGCCAGCGTCATGTCCTTTAGAGACTGAAAGCTCCACAGGAGTCTCTTCCCTTCAACACAGGCCAGCTTGCTATATCCAGTAAGAAGAATTAAGGAAAGGTAAGATTTTATCTACAACTTATCTTCAAAGTCACTGTCATCTTTCTACTCAGTCCGTATACACATAATCCCACACTGGGGTGAAGTGCTATCTCAGAGAGCCTTAGGAGCTATGAAAGAAAAAAATAGACCTGAAGGTCCTGTTCGTAACTTTGGTGCAGGCAAGCTTAACAACATGGGACTCAAAGCTGATAACCAATATTGATAATTGGGATCCATCCTTTTTTAACATATTTGTAGTACATAAAGATGACATTCATCATGAACATTAGGTACACACAACTAACACATCTTAATTATTTTTTCATTTCCTTTCCTTCCTCTCCCACCTACTTTGCTCAATCGCTTGATCCCCCTCCCTTTTGCAAAAGAGCTACCTTCCTGTTTCCTATTATCTATCTTTCATTTTGCTCTTTATTTATACTTTGTGTTTCTCATATGAAAGAGACCATAAAATATCTAAGTTTATGTGCCTGACTCATTTCACTTAGCATTATGGTCTCAAGGCTCATCCATTTTCTGACAAATGATTTAAGTTTATTCTTCTTTGTGATAGAATAGTGCTTCACTGTGTATAAAAACCACATTTTTTATCTACTCATCTGATGATGAAGATATACTCTGCATCCAAGATTTAGCTATTATGAGTTCAGCTTCTATAAACATGCATATGTATGTATCATTGTAATATATCTTTAATTCTTTCAGAAAGATAACCGAAAGGGGAATGGCTGGGTTGAATGAAATTTCTAGTTTTAGTTTTTTGAGGAATCTCTATAATGTTTCAACAGTGATTGTACAAATTTACTCTCACATCTACTGTGTAAAGAGTTCCTTTTACCCCATAGCCTTGTCAGGATTTGTAATTATTTGAATACTTTAAGATAGTCATTCTCACTGGCAAGAAACAGAAGCTCAGTGTTGTTTAATTTTCATTTCTCTAATGGCCAGAGATGTTGAACTTTTTGTTTAATCATTAGCCATTTGAACTTCTGAGAAATGTCTGTTCATTTCACTTCCCCCTTTTTTATTGGATCTCTTATTTTGGGCAAGTCTAATATTTTTCAAGTTCTTTATATATTCTGCATATTTAGTCCTTTGTACTAAAATAGATAAAAATATTTTTCGCATTCCATAGGTGACCTTTTCATTTGGTTGGTTCTACTGTTTGTTGTGTAAAACCTTTTTAATTTGAGAAGGTCCCATTTGTTGATTCTTGATGCTATTTCTTGAGCAATTGAGGTTCTGTAAGTCCTTGGTTATGTCTACCTCTTCAAGAATTTCACTTATTTGACCGTCAACAGATTTAGTGTTACTGTTTTAACATGTAGATCATTGGTCTGTTTTTATTTTAATGGAATACATGGGGAGAGATATGGTTCTAGATTCAATCTTCTGCATGTGGATTACCAGGTTTCCTGGCACCATTTGTTAGAGTCTTTCCTACAGTGCATGTTCTTGTCAAAGGTCAAGTCAGAATGTGCCTGCAGTTTTTTCCTCCATCCACTACTCTATTCCACTAATCCACAGGTATGTCTTTGTATGATGTCATTTTTATCACTGTAGTTTTGTAATATAACTTGAAGTCTGGGATTGTGATGCCTCCTGCTTTGCTTTTGTTACCAAGGGTTGCTTTTGTTATTCTGGATCTCTTCAGAAACAACACAAATATTACAAATGTTTTCTCTAGTCCTGAGAGGATTGCAATTGTATTTTGATTGGCATTGCATTAACTCTGTATATCAGCTTTAAAACTATGGCCACATTGACAATGTTGGTTCTGCTGAGCCAGGAGCAGAGAATCTCATTCCATTTTCTGATATCCTCTTTGATCTCCTTCATCAGAGAACTGTAGTTTTCACTGTAAAAGTTTTTTCTTTCTTGGTTAGGTTAATTCCTAAGTATACAACTTTTATTGATACTATTCTGAATAGTATTGTTTTCCTAAACTCTTCCTCCATAGGCCCATTATTGGTACCCAGGAACACTATTGATTTTTGTGTACTGATTGGTATCCTGCTACATTGCTGAATTTAATTATGAATCTGAATCTTTTGATGGAATTTTTTGAGTCTTCTATGTAATGGATCATGTCATTGGTAAATAAGGATTATTTGATTTCTTGTTGTCCTGTATGTATCCCTCTTATTTCTTTCTCTTACCTGGTGACTCTGGCTGTTTCAAGTACTATATTGAAGTGCAGTGCTGAGAGTGAACATTCTTGGCTTGTTCCTGATAATAGAGAGAAAACTCAACTTTTCCCCATTTAATATGATGTTGGCAGAAATTTTGTCATAAGTGGCTTTAAGGTCCTTCTATACTATTTTCTTTAGGATTTTATCATTAATTGATGTTTAGTTTTGTCAAAGGCTTTTCTGCATCTATGGAGAAGATAATGTAACTTTTGTTCTTGATTACATTTATGTGATGTATTATATTTATTGACTTGTGTATTTTGAACAACTCTTATATCCCTGGGATGAATCCTACTTGTTCATCAAGTAGTTGATCTTTTTGATGATTTGTTGCATTCTATTTGCCAGTATGTCTTTGAGGATTTTTACATCTCTGTTCATTAAAGTGATTGACCTGTGGTTCTCTTTTTTGGTTGTGTCCTTACCTCATATCTGAATCAAGGTAAGGCTGGCTTCCAGGAATGACTTTGGAAGTACTGTTTGCCTTTCAACTTCATTAAAAAGTTTGAGAAGTATTGACATTAGATCTTCCCTGAAGTTCTTTTAAATTCAGTAGTGAATCCATTAGGTCCTGGCATTTTCATAATTAGTTTTTTATTACTACTTTAATTTCATTACCTGATATTGGATTACTGAAGGATTTTATGTCTTCTTGGTTCAGTTTTCATAATTTAAGGGGCTGGGGATTTAGCTCAGCGGCAAAAGCGCCTGCCTGGCAAGGTTGTGGGTTCGGTTCCCGGTACCAGAGAAAAACCAAAAAAAAAAAAAAAACAGTTTTCATAATTTATATTTATCTAGAAATCTACCCATTTCTTGTCCATTCTCTAATTTATTGGAATACAGGTTTCCAAAGTAGTTACTAATAATCTTCTGGATTTCAGCAGTCTCCATTGTGATTTCACTTTTTCATTTCTTACTGTAGCAATGTGGGCTTTTTCTTTCCCTTTTTTGTTAAGATTAGCTAAGGGTTTGTCTATTTTTTTTTTTATTCTTTCAAAGAATCAGTTCTTTGATTTATTGATTCATTGTAAGCATTTTTGTCTAAATTTCATTAATTTCAGCTCTGATCTTTATCACTTCCTTCTTTGTACTAACTTTGGATTTGGATTTTTCTTGTTTTCCTAGGACCTTGAGATGCATCATTGGGTTATTTTTGTGGGCTTGTTCGGTTTTTTCAATTTGCGATTCACACCTATAAACTTTTCTCTTAGGAATGCCTTTTTATGTCCCATACATTCTGGTATGTTGTATTGGTATTATCCTTTGATTCAAGGAACTACCTCATTTCTTCCTTGATGTCTTCAGTGTCTCATTGATTATTCAAGAGTACATGGTTTAATGTCCATGTAATTCCATAATTTCCGTGGTTCCTTTTGTCATTGATTTCTGGTTTCATTGCCCTATGATCTGATAATATTGATGGTATAATATTGTTTCTTTTCCACTTATTTAAGCATGCTTTATAGGATAGTGTGTGTGGTATATTTTGGAGACAGTTGCTGCAAGAATGTGCCTTCTGTTATTTTTGTATGGAACATTCTATAATATATATTAAATCCATTTGTTTGAAGGTTTGATTCAGCTCTGGTATTTCTTGTTGATTTTTTTGGTCAAGTTCATCTGTCTATGTTTGGCATTGTGGTATTGATGTCTCCCAATATAAATGTGTAGATTTTTATTCCATCTTTTATGCCCAGTAGTGTTCAGTTTAAGAAGTTGGGTGTGCCAATTTTCAGAGCATACAGGTTTATAAACTGTTGTCTCATCCTGTTGAATTGTTCCTTTAACCAGTATGTTGTGACCTTTCTGCCTCTTTTTTTTAAATTTTAAATAGAATAATAAAAAAAATAGCAAAATACCAACAACATAGACAAAACCAAAACAAAGCTGCCTCTTTTAATGTTTTGGCTTTACGTACACATTGAAAATAGGAGAGGCTCTCCAACTTGTTTTCAGATTCTTGTTTCAGGGAATATCATTGTCTATGAGTCTATGAGTTTCTTTCTTGATTAAATATTTTCTTGTAGGCAGAGTACTGTTGGGTATAATAATGTTGGGTTTTGTTTCTTGATTTATTATGCCAATCTATATCTTCTGGTTGGGGAATTGAGATCATTCATATAGAGAATTATCACTAGAAGGTATTAATTTATTCCTCTCACTGCATTATTTTCCTGTCACTGATTCCTCTCCCCTCCCATTTCAGTTTACCTGTAAACCTTGCCTAACGTGTATTCCATTAGGCTTTTGGGTAGAGTTGGCTTAATTTTCCCCTTCTGGGATATATCCTTGAGAACTTTTGCAGTGCTGGCTTCATGATCATGAATTCCTTAAAGTGCTCTTTGACATGGAAACCGTCTATTTCTCTATCAATTTTGAAAGTTTTCTACAATATCGGTTGAAATTTATTTTTTTTTAAGGCTTGAAACACACCACTCCAAGCATTCTGGGCCTTTAAGGTTTATCCTGAAATGTCTGCGGGTTTTCCTTTATAAGTGACTCTGCTTTTCTCTAACAGCTGTTAAGATTCAGGGCTTGTGTTGGACTTCTGAGATTTTGCCTATGGTGTTTTCCGGAGAAGTTGTTTTCTGATTATGGCCATGTGGGGTTCAATATGCTTCATTTATCTCTATGTTAAATTTCTTCCCCATATATGGAAAGCTTTCTGCTATTATTTCTGTAAATAATATGTCATTTATGCTGTCTTCTGATTTTTCACTAAGTCCAATTAATCATAGCTTAGTCTTCTTTGCATCATCTAGCAGCTGTTGGTTCCATTTTCCATGTTCTTTTACTGTTCTTAAGATATCTCAGAGTATTTAGTCACCTGCATCAGCCATGTCATCTAGTTTTGACACTCTGTCCTCACATTGATCATTTCAACACCTCATATTTTCACTTAAATGTTTTAAACATAAGATATATTTATTATTTTTCTGACCAAAGTGCAATGATTTTTAAATCTTCTTAAATGAATAACTATGAAAACAGTATTCCAGAAAATAAAGTACAAATGGGAAAACTAATCACTAGATTGCCTTTTGCAATTTTACCCTAATCCTGTATTTAGTCTAGGAAACAAACCAAAAAAAAAAAAAAAAATGAATTATTACTAATGCAAGAACTGAAGCAGCATAAATCTAGGACATGCATTTCAAGGTTCTACTTCTATGAATTGCATTATCATTTTAATTACGAATAACACTATGTAACAGAGCAAAAGGAACACAGTTATTGCATGTGATCCTTGCCCCACATGCTCTGATTATGTCATAATAAAGCTGACAATTCTGTCAGGCTCTGAATCCCTTGTGACCTCAACCTAAACCTTGAAAGTAAAGGCTATGGCCTATCATACAACTTTGCACAAGGTGTAGTAACCTAAGTTTTATCTTTCTATAGGAAATGGTCAGTTATTTGGTAAATATTAAAACATTGCTAGCAATCTATTTTCTGAGTTTGTTCACCAAACATCTTATGCAAGAACTGATTACACAAAAAGTTCCTTCAAAATTTGGTCCACAAATTCACTTAACAGGTTAGAATTTGAAACCTGCAAGAACAGGAAGTGGAAATCCCTAATCCTAACATGTTGTAATCACATTTTTTGTTTTGTTTTATTTTTTTTGAGACAGGGTCTCACTATGTAGTTTAGGCTGGCCTTAAACTCACTATGTAGCCCAGGTTGGCCTTGAATTAGCAGCAATCCTCCTGCCTCAACTTCCTGAGTACTGGGATTATACATGTGGCTACCTACGGAGTCATTATCAGCTGATCCACTCAGTTTAATAGGTTAAACTACATAGTGAGGGTCTATCCCTGCCAAAAAGCACCAGTAAAAGTCAAAAGTGAGAGGAGCAACTGTCGTCACAGTTGTAAAAACACAAAAAAAAGAACACAAGGATTATAAAGACTCCAGAAATTCTGACACTTCCAAAAGAAACTACCAAATCTCCAACAATAGGCCCTAAACTAAGGGAAATACATGAAATGATAGAAAAACAATTCCAAATAATTTTTTTTTTAAATTTCAGTGAACTTCAAGAATATAAGTATGAAAAAAGTATGGGAGCAAATGGTGGCTAAGTAACCAATCATCTCCCCACAGAGAGACAAAGTTGGACTGCTAGTTGTTCACCAAGGTACATTCACAGAGCTGGGGTAATCAGGTGAGAGACCACAGTGCCTAAGTTTAGTATGGTAATAAGATAATATATATTGAAGAAGTCAGGGGCTGGAAATATAGCTCAGCAGCACAGCACTTGCCTGGCAAGAGCAAGGTCCTGAGTTCGATTCCCGGTACCAAAAAAATAAAGAAGTCAGGAAGGAAAGAGTTGACTGCATCACTACTACCCCAACACTAGATAGCACAGTGTACAGAAATATCTGCCTCAAAAAAAAAAAAAAAAAGAAAGAAACATCTGCCTCTTGGAGTAGTTTCAGGCCTGTCATGGTGAAACCTAGAACCCCCTGGCCAGGCCCCAAGGACTGAACCTCAAAATATCCATTATCCAGGTGGCCAAAGAACTGTTTCAACCACTCCACTGGCCCAAACTCAGGAAGCACATCATGGAATAAGACTCCACCTGCTCGTGGGTAGGGCAAGAAAGTAAGCATGGGACTTTGTCTCAGAGCTCAGAACCCCACTAGAGAGATCCAGCACTAAGCAGAACTGAAACACTCCTACCCCAGGCCAGTGTTTGCAGAAAGAGACCCTCACACAAGGCAAAGACGTCTGGTATAGAGGGACAGATCTGTGTGTCTGCATCATCACCAACCTTCGTGAGACTCAGTTCACCACTGAGATGGTGCAGGTTCCCGTAGCTGTCAAATCATGTGTAACCCAGCTTAGAATTAGTTTTGAGGGTCAAGGAAGTACGGCCTCAAACTCCTCCCCCAACCTCACACACCACAGAATGGAGCAAAACTCCATTTCTCTGGGGTTAAGACAGGGTCATAAGCATAAACATGCACCATGGGATCAATGTCAGGCCAGTGAAATGCAACACTGGGCAGATCCTAACAGCCTCTGTCCACAGGCAAATGTCTACAGATGGGGCCTCTGGACCTGCCCCAGTGCCGGACAGAAAGATATGGGTTCCTGACTAATTGAACTTATGTCCCGGCCAGTGTTTTGTTTTGCTTTATTTTTTAATTTTAAAAATAAAAGGAGGAAAACATTAACAGACAACCTTTTACAAAATAGCAAAAGAACAGTACAGACAATACAAACAAAGTTACAAACAAAGCGGTAGGAAATTAACAATGCTTGTTGTGTAGTGTGGCCAATGGCTGGTCACAGGGAGCTCAGTCATGTGTTTCCCCTCTGCAGCAGGTGGGCTACCGCAGTGTGGGTCTTGGTCCTTCCTTGTCTGCACTGGTCTCACTGAACTGTGTGGGCTGAGTGTGACCAAATAAGGTGGCAGTGGGAACCACAGGACTCCCACTCCATCCCTCCTCCAATCTCAGACTGTACAATGCAGACTAATGACCTGCTTAAGGGAAAAAGGGAGGTAGAGCCCACGATGTTGCACAACAGACTGGGGCCAGTCCCTCTGTGGTGTGACCTAGAGCCTAACACAATCCTACAGCACCACATAGTGGTGACTGAGCAAAGTGTCTGTACCTACATGGCACCTGCAGAGGCCCATGAAGACCCTACACTTTTTAGGCACTCCGCTAGTTCATTCCAAAGAACAAAGAAACTATGGATTTGGGACAAACTTGGGCATGGTGCATGCTGTAGTAGTAAAATCTAGAATATGCTTAGACTGAAATTGAAGGGATAGAATAAGATATCCCATGAAAATGGAATCAAAAGCGTATGTTGCCAAATATATCTTATAAAAGCATATCTTATATCATTATAAAAGCATAATGGTATAAGAAATTTATAAAGAAGCTGGAGAGAGTATAAGGGAGGAAAAGATGAGAAAGTTTGATCAATAAATATTAAGTTAATAGTAGGAGAAAGAAGTCTGTATTCTCTTGCACAGTAGGGTGACTACAGACAATGATAATGTACTGTATATTTCAAAAAAGCTAGAAGAATGTATTTGGAAACTTTTGCCATAAAGTAGTGATAATTACTTGAGAAGATAAATATGTTTACTGTGACTTGAACATTATACAATATTTACATATATCAAATGACCACATGGTATTCATATGGAACAAAAAAGAAACTAAGAATAGCAAAAGCAATCTTGGGCAACAAGAGCAAAGCAGGAAACAACACAATCCTGGACTTCAAGCTGTTTTACAAAGGTACAGTGATAAAAACAGAATATACTGGCACACAACCAGACATGTAAATCAATGGAAGATGAACAAAGGATGCAGAAAAAACCCTGGGCACATTCAGTTATTTGATGTTTGACAAAGGGCCCAAAAACATGCAAGGAAGGGAAAATAGCCTCTTTAATAAAGGGTCCCAGGACATGCAAAACATTGATTCTAGACCCATAGCTCTCATCACATACTAAACTAAAGTCAAAATGGGTCAAAGATCTAAACATTAAAATAGTAACACTTAATGTGCTGAAAGATAAAATAGCTAAACTCTTGAAATCACAGGCATAGCCAAGGACTTTCTCAATAAAACCCTAATTGCACAAGAAATAACATCAAGAATCAATAAATAGGGTATCAAATTTAAAAGCTTCTGCACAGCAATAGAAACAACCAACAAAAGACAGCCTACAGAGTGGGATAAAATTTTTGCCAGAATTTTTCAGATCATGATTAATACCTAGAATACATAAACAACTCTGAAAATCAGATACCCTAAAATAAAACACCCCCAAAACACTCAAAAAATAAGTAGCTGTCTCAAAAGGAAAGAACAATGAGATGGGGGAAATGAGAAAAGAAAGAAAGAAGGAAGGGAGGAAATGTATATATAGACAAGATAGCTAAGATAATTGTACTACTAATTTCTATTGGTTTATTGAAAGGAACAGTTAATGCCTAATTGTTCAATCAGTTTTGCATGCCTATATCTGGTGATCTGAACAACTACTTTGAAGGTAACAATATGCAAGATAACAACCATTGTTAATTTCCTATCATCTTGTTTTGAAATTCTCAATTGTTTTTATTGTTTCTTTTATTCTCTAAAATAAAAAAAAATGGACAGCTGAAATGAACAGACACCTCTTGGAAGAAGTACAAATGACCAACAAATACATGAAAAACTGTTAACATTGCTGGCCACTAGATAAATGAAAATTAAAACAACGCTAAGATTCAATCTTACTCCAGAAAGAAGGGCTATGATCAAGAAATTCAATAATAACAAATGCTGGTGAGGTTGCTGGAAAAAGGAACGCTTCTCTGTTGTGAGTAGGAATGTAAACTAGTATAAACACTATTTGTTTTGTTTTGTTTTGTTTTTTTCCAGTACCAGGAATCGAACTCACGACCTTGCGCTTGCCAGGCAGGCGCTGTGCCGCTGAGCTAAATGCCCAGCCCCAACATTATGGAAATCAGTATAGATATTCCTCAAAAACTAAAACTAGAATTTCATTCAAGCTGGTTATTCCCCTTCTAGGTATCTTCCTTAAACAACTAAAGATATCATAGTACAGTAATATATATGCATATCCACATCCTCAATGCAAAGGAATTATGGTATACAATTATGAGACCTAGCATACGCATAATGGCCAGTCAAAAATGAAAAACAGATAAATTTACTCAGAAAACATATTTAAAGAAATAATTGATGAAAAATTTTCCTAATCTGAGCGAGGTAACGTCAAGGTATAAGAAGTGCAAAGGTTTCCTATAAATTCAAACAAAGATCAAATAGTTGACTATGTCTGGGGAGGTGTATGACTCCTCAGTTCTATTCCATTGACCCATGTGTCTGTTTTTGTTCCAGTGTCTTGCTGTTCTTATCATTATTGCTTTCTACTACATCTTCCGGAAATCTGATATTGCTATGCCACCTGCTCTGCTCTTATTGCCCAAAATTACTTCTGCTGTGTGGAGTCTCTTCTGGTTCCATATGAATTTCAGGATTGTTTTCTCTTGATCTATAAAGTATGCTGTTGCTATCTGATTAGGGCTGCAATAAATCTGTATAGTAGTTTTGAAAGTATGGCCATTTTGATAATATTGGTTCTGCCTATCCAGGAGCAAGGGAAATCTTTCCATTTTCTGATGTTCTCTTCAATCTCCTTCTTCAGGGTACTGTAGTTTTCTTTGTAGACATCTTTCACATCTTTGGGTAGGTTAATTCCTAAGTATCTCATTTTTCTTGAAGCAACTGTGAATTATTGTTTTCATAATTTCCTCCTAGTCCTATGCATTCTTGGTGTACACAAATGCTAATGATTTTTGTGTGTTGATTTGGTATCCTGTTACTTTACTGAAATTGATTATTAATTCCAAGAGTTTCTTGGTGCAGTTCTTTGGGTCTTCCATGTAGAGTATTGTGTCATTTGCAAATAATAACAATTCCAATTATTCCTTGCCCATATGTATCCTTTTATTTCTTTCTCTTACCTAATTGTTCCAGCTAATTTTTTAAGAACTATATTGAATAGCAGAGGTGATAGTGGACAACCTTGTCTGGTACCTGATTTTAGGACCACACATACAGGTGTGGTCCTTCTGTATCTGTTTTTGTCAGGGTTTTTACCATGAAGGGGCGTTGGATTTTGTCAAAAGCTTTCTCTACATCTATTGATATGATCACATGGTCTTTGACCTTGCTCCTATTTATGTAATGTATTACATTTATACATATACAAATATTGAACCATCATTGCATCTCTGAGATGAAACCTATTTAATCATGGTGTATCAGCTATTTAATAATACATTACATTCTATTAGCTAATATCTCGTTGAGAATTTTTGCATCTATGTTCATTAAAGCAAATGACCTATAGTTCTCTTTTTCTGTTGGGTCTTTATCTAGTTTTTGGATCAGGATGATAGTGGCTTCCATAAGTGAATTTGGGAACACTCCAACCTTTTCAATTTCTTTGAACCGCTGAGGAGGACTGCTGATATAACATCCTTAAAGGTTTTATAGAATTCAGTTGTGAATCCTTCAGGTCCTGGGCTTTTTATAGTTAGTAGATTCTTTATTACTGAGTCAATTTCATTACTTGTGCCTAGGTTGTTAATATCATAGAAGTAGACAGTAGAATAATGG